ACTTTTTATTTTGCATTTATGTAGTCCAGTTACTATGTCACCCAGATGTGTGGTGATCTTTATACAGAACATATTGATTACATTTTTCTCACTACTGTTACAAAATATATCTCACACAGCAAAGTTATAACTAACAAATAGCTTTTTGTTCTCTTTTTCCCCTTTCTTTAAGCATACATATCTTTGATGTTCATACAAATGGAATTCCAGATCTGTAGGAAACTTTTTTTTGTAAAATGTTTTCTCAAAGCTATTTTATTTGCTTAGGTCAATTTTTAATTCCGCATATATTGTCATTTGAGGACATATCTGAGAGAGCAAACCCAGTAACCATATGCATTAGTTGTTATCCAAACTTTTCAGTGGGACACTAGTATTAGACTTTGTTTACAAAATTCTCAACTAGCATGGCCTTTGAATAATAATTTTGAATAAATTTTATGTAATACAAAACATATTTATCCCATAAGTGGAACTGGTTCCAATAAATATTTTCTATTTCACCTGTTTTATGTATTTTAACTTTGTTTAACTATGAGTAAGACATACAGAGAATGCAAAATTCATCCTCAATTTTTTTGCCATTTTAAAACAGATTAAAATTCAGATGATGCACACTTATTTCTTGTATTCCTAAAATTTTATTTAAAATCACTGTCTTCCACGTATTGAACTTTAAAGTTAAAGTGTATGGATTGCATTAATTCTAGAAACCCGAAGATGTTTATCTTTCCCGAATTTGTTTTTAAAAATTCTCTTAAAAGAGAATTTTGTTTATTATTGTTTATTATTGTTTTGTTTATTATTGTTTATCACTTGCATTGATCTATTAATGTGTGAAGTGCTTTACTTTTATCTCATTCCAATGATCTGCAGTATCTTTATTAGTATCTCTGCTGGGGGCAAGCCATATTCCAAATACAAGATTCTGTACTTGAATTTTATAGACCAGATATATTGATAGCTCAATACAAAAAAAAATCTTTTGCTTCCAGCAGTTTAATGCCTTGAACACAGAATCAGTTACCTGATTATCTCTTCCAGATGGAGAAAGAGAGCTTTCCACTCCAAGGAGAGCTTTACTACAAATTCATCCTGCTCTTCCTCCAGAGAGCTCTGATTATAAATTTGAGTTCTCCATGCCCTGCTTCCAATTAATCCCACTGTCAAGTAGAACTGGATCAGGATGACCTAAAAGATATTAAATGTGGATGAGGATTTGAACTAAGACCTTGTGGTCCTAGTTCAAAACTATTCAATACCATGATTCCCCAATTGGATGTCCTCCAGATGTTAGAACCACAATTCTCAAAATTCCCAGCTTAGTTAGCCAGTGGCATGTTTATTAAGAATTGGAAGAATGCTAATCCCAATAAACATGAAGAGATACAAGTTGAAGAAGATTGCTTTGGGGACTGTCCCAAAAGTGCTTTCTCCAAAAGAAAACTGGACTTTCTTGTTTTTTTCCTTTGAAAACTTCACTTATCATCTAAGAAGCTTCTTCAGCTCAGTTCAGAAGTAAAGAAGCTTCTTGGATGATAAGTGAAATGTTTTCAAAGAAAAACAAACAAACAAGAAAGTCCAGTTGCCTTTTGGAAAAAGCATCTTTGGGATAACCATGACCAGAATGATTGAAAATCTCGATAGACATTTCGCTCTGGAGACTGCTGCTTACTAGTAATAATTTTTATAACGGCATTCCATGATTTTAATGTTCTGAGAAGTTTGTCATTTTATGATGAGGAATCAAAAATATGTTCACATTTTAAAATACAGCAGCAAAGTATTCTTATAAGTTATCATAAGAATATATCTGTTCTTTGATACAGTCAATTTTTCTGATCCTTTTTAAAATTCAGTTCAGTTCTTAATGTTTCTAATATCTTAGAACCACAAAAAAAAAATTAGAAAAGATGGTATAATTTCCAGTTAGATTTAGTTGTATCCATTGAAAAAAAAAATATCAAAATGTCTTAAGTTCCAAGTTTTGTCCTTTCCATGTTTTATTCCAATTTAAGCATTACCCAGGATCAAAAGATTGCCATCTGTGACTGCTGGTATGTTGCTGGAAACATGTGTAATTGATAACTGTAATCAAGAATAGTTAGACCCTCCTCCTCTCTCCTACCCCCATCCCTGCCCCACTTCACATGGGCAGGCTTGCCTACGCGGTTTTGGAAATAAATCATGGTAAGCCAGTCAAATCTTGGCTAAGAGGGGATGAAATTAATACATATATTTTTTATAAATGTGCCTGTTCACAGTATTGTCCAGTTTCACAGGAGAGTTTTCAAATTTGTGCAATAATAAATGTAATTATTTTGGGGCACGGCATAATTTTCATCAAAAATTATAAAAGTTCCTGCTCAGTATTATCTTTATTTTTCCTGCTAGTAATTGGATGTAATGATTAATATTTCTATATTGTATTTGCTACCATTTATTTTGATATACCAGTTGTATATTATGTTGCAGAATACAATAAAAATTGCATTTCTAGATTAGAGTATTTTAAAATAATTTATATTCTTTGCTTGAAAAATATATTTCATTTGCATCTTGGACTGTTCTAATGTTTTACATCTGAAAAATTGGAAGAGTCAATATGATGCAATTAGGAAACTTAATATAAGTTTTATATAATAGAAATATAAACATTATGTATTTTAATTGAAACAGTCCCCTGTTCTTCTATTTTATCATTCTATTAATGTTTATTATGAAATTTAATTAATTTTCCATGAATAATAAAATAATATCCTTAGATTGAATAACTTCATTCTTTAGATTTAGAATAAAATGTCATTTTTATAAAGTAAAGTGGCTTGGGCTTTTGTTTACTGGTTTTGTTTTGTTTTTAAAGCATTCACAATTAAGCACATCTGTGGCAATAGTGATGTGAAGATAAAAGGACCTTCTCTTATTGTGAGGAATAGTGATTTGATTATTTTTTTTGCTACTGCGATAGAAAATGTATTAATCTGTGGATGCTCTTTTTATATGCTTTATTTAAAAAAAAGAATGCACTTTTGAAAGTATTATCAGTTGTTCAGAAATAATTGACAATACACTGGGAGAAATTACCAGAAAGATAATTCCTTTTAGACTTCCTAAAGAAAATATTAGGACAAATTTTCTGTGCAATGGTTTTAATACTGCTGTGTGGGTTGAATTAAAGCCTTTTTTATTTATCACAATTCAACAAAAGTAATGTGGGGTTTTAGCAGTCTAGAGTAATTTTAAATGTGATACTGGAAACTTTTTTTAAGCACAGGATAGCTTGTAGAAAAAGGATTTTCTGAAACATAGTAAATGCTTTCATCCATGCTGATTTCATATTTTAATTAGCAACTTGGAAAGGCAAAAGCAAATAGGCAATGTTAATTAAATTAATGACAAATGGCTAATTATTTCAGTAACTTGTAAAAGTTAATTTTTCATGACTTTTTTTACAATGGTAAAATGTAAGGTAGCTGGGCATATTCCTTGGACATCTTCTTAATCTTTGCTATTCAAAACAGCTTCATACACACACAAATACATACAAATTCTTTTTTAAAAAAGAATATTTTAGTTTTTTCATGCCTCACCTCTGTGATTTTTATATGACCCACACTTTTGTTTGGAAGCAGGATAAGGTTTTAATATTTATCTCTAAAATACTTTACAATAAATGCTTCTTTATCAATAGAAGCAATTGTATGCAGGTTGCATTTTCAGTAAATGGACAAAATTGAATCCAATTGCCTCTGACCCATAGTTCGTGAAGGGGCTGGTTCTTTTCTATGAACAGAAATGCCATTGTTTTCTTTCCCGTGCATTCAGCCTGAAAGTTTGCACTAGTAGGTGAAAAGGAATTCATTTTCTCTGAGCCAATCCCCTCTTCTGGATTTCTGTGTTAATCTTTTAAAATAAGATTCAGTTCTGATCCTTATTTCAGTTTCCCTTTGCATCTGCCTCTGTCTAAAGCTTTAGAGGCATTTGAAGGCATCTCAGCAGCGGATAACTGATACTCCTGCCATGTAAGTTTGCATTTTGTGTTTGTAACTTCAGCTATTAAGGCTGGCCTTCAGTGATGCTGTGATTCAGATAGCTTTCAGAGGAGACTTGGTTAGCTTTTGAAGGAGATGGAGATGGGGATTATTGCAGAGACTACGAAGAAGTAGTTGGTTTTATCCTAATTTAGGAAAGTCATGTTTAATTTTATGTTGGGGAATGCTGTAACATAAATATAAGATACATTTGTATAACCTTGTTATGTGGATGCATACTGCCTTTTTGGAGTGACAGGCATATTATTGCTGCAGATGAATAGCTGCTGTTAATACCAGAGTTACCTACAATTTCAGAATTATAGTTCAAAATTCTAAATATATCAAATGACAAACTCACTCATTAAATGTTCTGATGAAAAGGGACCTGTGCTTGGCACAATCATGTTATACTGGCTTTTATGTAATGGCCTAAATCAATAAAATAATACACCTTGAATTTTGTTAATGATTGCCTGCTGCTGTTTTGTTCTTGTCATCTAAATATATATATATATTTGATCTCTTTTACTTTAACTTCAACTGCATACTTGATGTGTTCCAAATAAAATGTTCATTTACAAATAGTATAAGAATTATGTAGCCCAAGATCTTCCCAAAGCAGGATGTAATGTTGTCTGCTTTGTTCACAAATCTTAACTGAAATAAGGCCATCTACACAAGTGACAGTATGCTAAACAGGTGACATTCGCATGAGTTTAATGTTTGGTATTCAGATTGTAAAGGATGGAAATATACCACATATATTTAAATTTGAGAATACACACACACACACACACACACACACACACGAACACATAATCTTGCCAAGTTTATTTTTTAGATAATGGTTGATGCATTTTTGTCTCTACAAGCACTGTTTTTTTATCAATCTTTGGGTTTTTTTGCTCATTTTTTTCATCATTTTTCTTAAAATATAAGATATGTTGTATGCTTTTAATATTACAGCATTACCAATGAAGCAGGAGCTTCCATATACAGTGTTAGTCCAGAAGCTTGTAAAGAGATGCCTGATTTAGATCCTAACCTACGAAGTGCAGGTAACTATTGCTTATATACTTATTCGTTTCAGAAATAGAATATATGTATATTATAACCATTACAAGAATGACTTGAGCTTTAGGCAAATATTCCTCGTTTGTGAATATTTACTGCATATGAAATACTGAACCATTTTATAAAGCCATGCGAACAAATTATAGGAAATTATATATAATTTTTTTTGTTTACAGATCTTGAGTACACTTGTTGGCTAATCCAACATTTGCTTGAGAGAAAAATCTGCTCATTATTTACATACTGTTACATGCCATTTATAAATAAGAACACATATCTTATCCTATTATACACAGCATAGCATATCTTCTATCTTCCATTGTATAGGATTTTAGTATACAATATTTTTATAAGACTTCATTTTATTATACATGTTTCTTAAATAGGAATAACTAGAATAGGAAAATTAATAGAGGAAGGATGAATTTCTGTTTTAATAAAGACACGTACTTTTATAATAATAGAAATTATCACTCTTCCATTCTTTTTTTTTAAATCCACTTCCCTTGAAATTTCGCCAGATTTACATCAGAATAAATGGACAGTACAGAATGAGCTGAGGCATAAATGAGCTGTAAGTTTTGTAAATGAATTTCAGCTTGAGTAAAGAAAGTTTCGTAGGACTCTCTCCTTTACATAAGCACTGTCATCCGTTCTTAGTATTTCCATTGACAATCAGAAACATATGTGAGCTTACATAATGTTATTGAAAATGCGGTTGCAATGCTGTATCGTTGAAGTTTTCCAAGTTGTTTCTACATTTTTCATGATCTGTCTGTAGACCTATCAGCAGTTTTCTAAACTGGAAATTTATATATAAATTTCATTTTAAGCCATATTTTTCTTTCCCAAACTGACTGAAAATTCCCATCCCAATCGATCTAAAAAGCATGAAGTTGGAGAAAACTACTTATCCTCTTATTTTCAATTACTTTGTTACTCTTGAACGACATGTTAACTCTGTGTATTCCTGCTTTTTTCTTACTAATTCATATTTATAAAATATTTCTCATCCAGCATGTAGTCTTTTTAGGAAGCTATGTAATTCCTGTCTAAATCAAGGTGCTATCAACCTTTTGGTTTTGGTTCAAGTGACTTCTCTTCTGGCCAACTATATTTTCTTTGATATATGCTTTTTTAATGTTTTAATTTTAAACAACCCAGTATTGGGCAGCCTTGATTGATTGATTATTTGATTCATTGAATGAATGAGAGAATGAATGAGTGAGTGAGTGGATGGATGGATGGATGGATGGATGGATGGGGCATTACTTCATAACAGAGACAAAAATGGGAGATTCCTGCTATGACCTCTGTTGTCAGAGAGATTGGAAAGAAGTCCAGTAGTTATGTTTAGCATGCTTTCCCTACCTTATTATGTATTGAGCTGTAATGAACATGCATGCCTGGCTGAATTGGCTTGCAGACATGTGAATAATTTAATCACAAATATAATCTTTACCATGTTTTTAATTAAAACTGAATGAATATAGAATATATTAAAATATATGAGTTGTTTAATTCTATTGATTTATCTCTCTTCAGGAAGATTTCATAAATGGAGCTTAGGGGGGTTAAGGTCAAAATGCCAGTTTATTTCTCCTGCCAGATAATCTGATGCACACCTATTTGAATGCTTTGTATTGTAATCCAGAAGGTCCTGCTTCAGTCACCATTTCCTCTGTTTCAGTAGTTCAAACCTGGTAACTGGCTAGGAATCCAGATAACAGGTGTAATGGGCTGTGCCTCTATATCATGAATATTAGAGTCTGAATGTTTCTTGTAACAATTAGGGATATGCAAGTATGGTGGAAGAAGGGTCTTGCCTTTGCTCCTTTACCAAGGAAATAGCACATACCTTATCTAGGCAGAGCTGAAGGCTGATCAAAGATAAACAGACAAATTCTGTGACCCAAGGTGCTTGGAGACACCACTTTAGAGAAGAGATAGAAAAAAGGAAGGATGAATAATTAATAGTTGTAGAAAACTGGCTTGAAAATTATTATTTTAGTAAAGTGTGCAGTACATCCCAAATGTTTTTGTTCACAGATTTGTAAATTTCCGAAAGAGAATGAAACATCCACTAATTTGCAATCTTATAGATAAGTGTGCTATAATACCAAACAGCTGTTATTTGAGAGTGACAAATATGGGAATTTCTTCCTATATCATTTCTGAAATCTTAACATCTTTCTTCCAGATGCTGGTGAATGCTCTTACCTGAAAATAAAATAACCATTTTTTAATCTGTCAATAGTTAATAAGTAGATATGAACAAAGATATTCCTAATGGACTGTTTTAATTTAGTTGGATTAATTACCCTGAAACACCTACCTACCTACGTGCTTTCTTTCTTTCTTTCTTTCTTTCTTTCTTTCTTTCTTTCTTTCTTTCTTTCTTTCTTTTTTTTTTTCTTTCTTTCTTTCTTTCTTTCTTCAGAACCAGTGGAAAGATTAGATGTAAACCACATCCTTAAAATCCCAGGGTAATTCAGAGAGGTGAACAGTAGTCAGAAAAATCATAGTCTTGGGCATTCTTTTGTCCAGTCTCCTGCATTCCCCCGTTTTTTCTTTAAAGATAAGGAGAAGTTCACTTTCTTGATAGGAACTTGGATATCTTTTCAAATTTCTACTACCAAGATCCTAACATTCCCTCCTTTGATTAATATCATTAGTTGTAGTTCTTTTTAAAGAATATATCTACTTAGATATATCTACTTAGAGACTGGAGGTAAAGATACAAACAATGGGCAACTCTTCAGCTACTTGATGAATGCTGTTGTGTCTGTCTTCAGGGTTCCTCTTTTTATGAAAAACATAGTTGGTGCTTCAACTTATCCTACAGGATTTGTTTTCCATACCCCAGACAATATTAAATTCTATCTTCTGCCTATATTCTTTGTCACCTATGCCACTGTTTTCAGGATAAGAAAATGAAAACATTTCCATTGTTTAAAAAATCATGTTTTCATTTGAGACTGTCTAAAATTACATTAGCCTTTTTTGTAGCCCTATGCACTGGTTCGTGTACAGTTTATGATTAGTTGTAGTATCACAGTAATAAGGCAAGAGCATAAATGCATGCACACTACTATCATCTCTAATCTGTTCTCCATACTTACAGGACAAATGAGAAAATTAATCCCAAAAAGTCAGGCTTGTGCTCTGCAAAATAATAATTTGGGGTCAACTTTTGTCCTGATCCACGTGTGCTAGTACAACATACAACTTCTTAAAAATAAATTTCAGTATTAGTACATTTATATGACTGTGTTTGAAAAATTGGAATGGCTCCTAAGTTTTATTTTAAAAGTTCCATGATCGCTTCTCTTGAGAAAAATCTGATATATTTGCAAGTACTCTACAGTATGCATTTGGTTCTATAGGATAGAGAACAGAAATATAGTGAACTGACTTGTCTGCTTGCATAATTTCAGCAGCAACTTATTAAGTGGTACATTTGTTTTAGCTACTGAATACCAGAGAGAACTTTTTAAAAAATTATTCTTTTATTTTTCCACCATAATAACCTGAAGCAGTTGTACTGCTGCCAAATCATGGAGATGAGCTGCCTTAAAACTGAATGTGGTAATGGCTGTTATGAATTAGTAAAATTATTGAAAAATTGCCCTGTGTGTTTTGATTGGCAGTTTCTGCATTGGTTTAAGAATTCTTGCTATTTGAAGATCATTTCAGCACAGTTTTCAATTTTGTTTCACAGAATAACAAATGCCTCCCTTTCCAAAAATTTCTGTGTGTGCTTCTTTTAATATATATATATATACAGTATAAAAACACCAAGCTAGCAACTCTGTGCTTCAATGCACTAAATCAGAGAAAATAATATGGACAAGCCACAGTATAAAATTTTCTTCAGATTTGGATAGGAAAGGACGTTTCCTCTTAGTGACAGTGACATTTATGCTAGCCTGTCTCAAAAATGGTAAAGCTTGTCTATATAACTTGTATAAGTCAGTGCAGTGAAGCACAGGGGAATACTTTCATTTTAATTTCCATTTCACTAGTTACATCAGAGATTGTACTGTACATTTTTTCCTCTTTGTTTCCCAACTGTGATGCCTGCACGATAAACTATTTTTAAAAGCTAATAATTAGGAATACTGTGTGTCAAGTTCTGGTCACTATGACACACAAAAGAGGTTGAGACCCTGGAGAGTGTACAGAGAAGAGCAACGAAGATGATAAAGAGGCTAAATCATACAATGAATAGTTGAGGGAACTAATTAGCCTCTAGAAGAGAAGGATTGTGCGTGCCTTCCTGGACTTGAGTGGCTGTTACAAAAGAGAGAGAACTTATTCTCTAAGAAACTAGAGGGAAGGAACAAAGAAGTAATGGGTGGAAGCTTGTTAAAGAGAAATCCAGCCTAAAAGTGAGGAGAAATTTTCTGAAGGTGAGAACAATTAATCAATGTAATAGATTGCCTACTGGGGTTGTGGGTGGTTGCTCCTATTTTCAAAAATAGACTGAACAATCATTTGACTGGGATGGTATAAGGCTCCTGTTTTAAGCAGAGGATTGGACTAGAAGTCCCCCAAGTTCCCTTCCAGTCCTAAGATTCTATGGTAACATCATATCGCTGGAGGTGTGGATGAGAGTTGCTGCAGTTTAAAAGCAGCATTTGGGGTGGGGGGTGGGGGGGGCTAGAGCAAAAGGTCACGGAAGACAGCTTTTCTTAGGATTGTCAAGTCCCATCTGCTTGTCTTCTCTCCACAGGGCAGAATTCATTGGATTATTGTACACTCAAAAGTTCAGCAAACCACTTGTACTTTTCATTGCAAGAAAATGCCTTTTAGGGATTTGGGGCTTGTTGGGACTTTGAGACTGTCATGCTACAGGGGCTTATACCCTTGGGTGCTTCTACAGATAGAGACATACTGTTCAGAGCTGTCACAATGCCCCCCAAATGGAAGGAGAGGATCGGAGACAATATAATCTCTTCTGACTATCTCAGATAAAGTAAAG